TGTGTGTATGTGTGTGTGTATGTGTGTGCTTGCGTGAGTGAGTGAGTGAGTGTGCGTGTGTGTATACTCGTGTTTATGTGTGTGCTTGCGTGAGTGAGTGAGTGAGTGAGTAAGTGAGTGAGTGAGTGAATGAGTGTGCGTGTGCGCGCGCGTGTGTGTGCGAGTGTGCGTGTGTGTATACTCGTGTTTGTGTATCGTACTGATTAAATCAAATACATCCGTATATGTACTCTTTATATCTCATAAGATCCAGATTTCGGTGTATGCGTGTCCATGGTAAATATAGAAATACTCACTTATTCCGGCACAGTAAAAGATTCGCATCCACTTTACATTTCCTGTAAAATTATAGACGCACAAGTGTGCCTTATGCTTACGGCGCGCATGTTTGCTTATTTATAGGTCTAGTCGGTATCAAAACTCTCCATAATCAAAATAGCGAGTCATCTTTACAAGTGAATCTCAAACAACTTGTACCCAGAAACTCGTACACAAGAAAACAAACACTATCAAACCACAGTGTGTAACTACCTTGAATAAGCATATCTGCGGTGGTATTGTCCCTGCCCGAGTTTACGTCGACTACAAAGTGGAACGGTTGTGGATGCACATCGATATAAGCACTTCCTAGTGCAACAACCAACTCTTTCCCCTCTTGAGTGCACGCACCAGCCTCAACACCCCATGCATACGCATCTGGCCATACATGCGCGGTGTAATCAGCTAGATTCTTTGTGTAGTTAGCAGGCATAGGTCCCCATACATCGGGGGGATATGTGGTCGATGAGCGCACACAGTGTCTTTGTACGATCACTGAGGCGACTATGTCGTCAAGGTTACTAGGTATAGGCTTATATATGTGGGGTTCTACAGAGTGTATATCTTGGCCTTGTGGTGATGGTTGTTCAAGCTTTATACCTGCGCCATTGACTACACATATACTGGCAGTATTGATAAGCAGAACGTAACTTAAGGAACTTAGTAGGCATGAGGCCAGCTTGGGATTATCCATTGTCATCATTAGCACTCAAGGCGATTGAGCTCTAGCTAGACTACGTGTACTAAACTTAGTGAATATGAACGACGTGTAAACGTGTGGGTATGGATTTCTTCGTAGACACGGATCACGTATATACATATCTACTAATCTATAAGTATATAAATTGATCGACGAAACGTAGATACACTGAGCGGCGAGCGATACATATTTCATCACACGTCCTTGCACGTCCTTGCACGTCCTTGCACGTCCCTGCACGTCCTTGCACGTCCTTGCGAGGAACTCATTGGATTTGCATCAGAAAGACAGATAAATCCCATCAATCTTGTTGCCGCGTTTTCTATATATGGTGGTACACAGCCATTAAGATATCTGTCCAAGACTTCACCTTAGGTATTTTTTAGTTAAAAAAAATAAGTTGTCACGAATATTCCAGGATTAATCACGCGACTGGGACTGGGACCGTTGGACTGCGGACGCCGCGGGTACCGAAACCCAATTCTGCGCCCGAGCACAGAAGGGGCAAATTCTTAGTTCCGCCATGTGCAGCTGTGGCTGAGAAATTAATATTCGTTGCATTTCCTATGGAGTTCCTGGTCTGCTTTGTATAATCTCGTCTGTGTAAATATAAATGTTGTTGAACAAACAAAGTATTGTTTCACGTAGATAAATACGTCTCCTTATAGTTGCAACAATAATTATGTCTTTCTCCGTAGCGCTCTGTGCTTTGGGGCGAATTGCCAGCACCACTATATACACCCGAACCCTAGTGTTGACGCCTACGTATATAGTGAAGTCAAAATATTCAGTGTATAATCTATTCAGCCCCAGGCCTGAGCTGCCGATTTTTGCGAGGTATGTGCCTTATTAAGCTCTTGAAAAATCGGTGTCACGTGCGACTCAGTCTGTTGCAGTTGATGATGTTGCGCGTGGCTGCAGGAAGTAATCTCACAATGCGTTTCAATTTTCATGTGAGTGTATTCACAATATAT